CACTGCAACATTATTCATCTTCCCCCAGTGGGCAGGAAAAAATGAATGGGAGTATGATTTGTCATAAAATGATCCATCGCTCCACACCTGAGCCATAACACTCATGCACACTATGGTTGCTACTGTCAAAGGCTTGTGAATTTCAGACGGATACCGCAAATGCACAAATCCAATGTTCTCACTCAAAACTTAACAGTTCAACATGTGAGAGCAGATTTGAGATCCTCAGTCTTATGTCTGTGTATGTATAGCTTTTCTGAAATATTGACCTACAGTTATCCTGTCAGCCCCGAGCCCTATTACTAGTACCAAAGGGCTGCCTAAATAACTATAAAATAATAAAAATAATAATGACAACTCATGGCTCAGTTTCAAGAGCCAAGTACATACGTAATTACATATAGTTACATATGAAATTACATATGTACATACATGTAGATGTAACCAAAAGGTTACATTATGTAAAATGCATTTCACAAGTGCGCATCACAGGAGTAACACAAGAGTTACACCTGTGCGTAATCAGATAATAATTAAATAATTAAAATTTATGATTACATACGTCAAATGAGTATGTAATCAAACCACAAGTTGTACATAAAGGATTCTCAGGGTTTTGAGTATATAAAGAGCTCTCTGACCCGCCAGGAAAATCCATGATCATCATTACATACCATCAAATTATCAGTAAACATCTTCAATCAGATAAATACGAGTCCTTGTCCTCTTTTATTAGACATTGTATATTTCTCTAATTGATCATTGCTTTTGTTATTTGTAGAAGTTCTTTTGAAGACTTCTTTATTTTCGTCAGGAGGTGATCCTAGAAGTATTGCTCAAGTTGTTAAAGGGATTCAACAACTTGAGAAACTTTAAACTCACGGGAGTTCCTCTGTGTTCAGAGTCTAAAGTACTTCAAAATATCACTAGGTGATATTTCCCTTGCTTAACAACTCTAGAGTAGAGTGTAGTTATCTTGGGCACGACACTGGGTGCCAGTTGTCTAATTTTATCCGGCTAGAAGACTCTTGTCTTGCCTTAATCCCTGGAATTGTATCCAAAATCCTCTGTTGAGAGGTCATCTAACTGAAGTCAGTGCGGATTTGATCCCACTGCTTCTCTTACAAACTTATTTAAAAGTTTAAATAAGTTTCTCACGCTCATAATAAACTCAGTTTATTATTCTTATCCTTTTCTTTAGTGACTTACTAGCCTGAAAGACGCTAGTAGCTCACAATTTGGGGGCCTCATCGTGTTTTTGAACCCTTTATATTTTTTTTTGAGTTGTTATCTCATCTTTTTATTTTATAAAAACATTAAAAACAAAAACATATCAGTTTTATTCTATATCTACATTTTTTTTTTTTTTTGACCTGTTTTACTTGGAAACTGAGTGAGCTCAGCATTTTTCAAAATCAGGAGAATAGGTTGGAGGAAAGAAATAAATCATTTCCCCCCTCCAATTTTCGCACTTTTTTTTAATTTTTTTTAATTTTCCAATTGTTTGGATCATTAGTTGATCCAGTACACTTGAATTACATATTCAAAAGTGTTGTGTTGCATAAACAAACACCTGTAAGCCACCTTTTTGATATTGTAATTGGCCTGCACGCGCCAATTACAATTACATATACAGTCAGGTGACTTGTATACACATACACAAGTAATTCCAACAAGCCCCGCGCGTGGTCCGAGAAGCCACAGCGGTACAGTCCTCAACTGATTTTCGAATTTGGAAATTCGAAAATCCGCAACCCTCAACCCACCACACACCTCCACTCGATCGACGATCATCGGCGTTTATTCGACATCGCCGTCGAATTTGTTCGAACTTGTCGTCGGTGTTGATTGTTTTACGAGGTGTTGGCTTCCCGCTACGACCTCCAAAAGCATTCGTCCCGCTTCAAAAGCCGCCACGACCGGTCAATCACCACCCGATCGCGCCGATCATTACTGTTTACCCGATTTGAAATCGAAACCCTTCTTCTTCGAATCTATCAGACTAATCTGCAGAAGAATTGCTTTCTTTTAATAAAAAGTAAGCCATTTATTTGATCTTTCTATATAAATTTGAAGTACAGATTCAATAATAAACTTACTGTTTGTTTATTGTTTCTTTGTTTAGGTTCTATCGTCAATCAAACAAAACTTATATTCATTTATACCCGCGATTGTGTCTTTTTTTTTATTTCCTCTCGTATCGATTGAAAAAGCACACAGGATCGCTTAATTTTTGTTCTTCATCGATTTAACCGATCCGTTCAAAAATCAAGCCTTCGATTGTTCCTTTATTTTATTTTATCAAGTCCTCTATTCTTTTCACTTGTCCTTTCAGGAAGTGAGTAGTAAAGTTCTTTTCAGATCATTTGGAAAGAAGGTTATTAACATATTTGTTTGTTTGTTTGTTTTCTTTTCTTATTTAGTTTCTTGATCGATCGAACAGTTTTAAAGAAAAATCGATTGATATCTGGGTTTACTTATTGCTTTACAAAGTAAGTACCAGAGTTCTAGTTATAAACTCATCTAGAAACTAAGTTGACCGATAAAAATTGTCATTTGATTATTTCGTTTTATTCAAATCAGACAAACCTTTTAGTTTTTTTTTTAAAAAACGATCGAAGCGACGATTGGGCTTCAGATCGATCATTTTTTTTGGCTTATTGATTCAGTTTGGGTGCAACTTACTCATTTTTCCTTTCGGAAAAGGTTAATAGGATTAATACTCCCTTTTAACTTCTTTATAATCTACTTTTTATCTTCTTTTGTAAGAGTAGGCTCTTAGAATTCTTTCTGAAACTCTAAGACCAGAATAACATACTTACCAAGTATATTTTGTTTGATTGCTTTAGAATCAACTTGCTTCTTTTACAGAAGAGATTTTTTTTTGATCGAAGACCGACCGAACAAGACTTTACAAGTGAGTCCATCACTGTTATTTTGTTGATTACCAGTGATAACTAATCATTGGTTTCGGATTTTAACTTCTGCGTTTTTGATCAACTAAATCATCTAGAAATCCAATCGATCTTCGTTTCGCTTAAATAATTTTTCTACTATTACTTGTCTAAGAATCAGGCAGCTTTTAAAGTGAGTATTGTAGAGTACTCACTATTATCTGAGCCGTTTAGATTATCTGAAACTATCAGGCACTAACGAGAGTTCTCTTGTTGTGTCTTTCTTTCATTCTTTTTATCTTCTCTTTTTATCTTCTTGTTTAGTGGAAGCTAAAGGGATAGAATTAGAATTACCAGAGATCGAAGAGAACGATATCAACGGTACCGGTGCTAAATTCAAATCAGTGTCTCAGCGCATTTCAGATCGCAGCGATACGGAATCACAGCGATCAGCGTCACCTACACCATACGCCGAGTCGATTTTTCCTGGAACTACTCCAGGAAGATCACCCGAGCGCTTCCAGAGTGAGCACCCCGCTAACCTCCAACGTCGTACTGTCGCCACCGAACCGAAGTTTGTGTACACGACCGCACGTTTTTCGGAAGCTCCTAGTAAGTAGGACATTTTTATTTTTTTTCTTTTCTCTTGTCAGAATTATGTCTGACAAAAGAACCTCATCTGTCCGTAGCCGGAACGAACCAAGTCGCTACGGGAACCTCGTCAAGAACTCAGGACGAGCCGATGGCCGAAGGATCGAACCAAAGGCAGGTCCCTCAGGACAAAGGGAAGGGTCCCGAAGTAGTAGCAAGAGCTCCACAGGAGCCCCGCAGCATGGTAAGCCGATAACAACTCCTCCACCTATTTTACCTGGCAGCTTACCTTTGTCCTCTGAAACTTTAGACGCTGGAGGAACTGTCCAGGGAAGCGAAGTACCAGGAGGTCTGGCAGAAGCTCAAGCTGGCCTATCTCGAATGGGAAGTAGGCCGAGCGATGGACAACTCGGATCCGACCAAGCTCAAGCTATGCAAGGAGGCAGTTTTCCGGTCCAGGAAGAACTGGCAAGTTCTGACCAAGGAGTATGGTCTGGACGACAAGAAGATCATGGATTGGCTTCGACCCTCCTTCAAGAACGGGACAGTGAACTGGAACCCGAACGACCTCTCCATCAAAGGCTTCTTTCTGAGAAGCGAGGAGGATCAAGCTCCAGTGGGTACCTCTCAGCCTCAAGCGACCACGGAGGACCGACCCCGAAAGCGCTCCAAGCATTTCCACAACGACAATCGTCACCAATCGGATCGCAGCGACGCAAAAGCTTATGTGAGAGCTCAGGTAATGATGGGTCAAACCCTCCTCCAAGAGGAGGGTTCCAACAGCTCCAATCGACGCCGAGGCAAGTACAATCGTCGAAACAAGTGAAAAAAGAACAAGTAAGTCTTTTGAATACTCAAGAAAGATCAATCATCCACAAGTTCTCAGAACTAACGAAAAATGATTTTGCTTTGCCTATGTTAGATGAAATGGCTAAGAACTTCAAACAAGTTCATCTCCGATTCAATGACTTGGATAGGGTAGATAGAATTTTTGAAGATCATTTTTTGACTGGTAACTCTAATATGGAGCAGATTTTCAATAAAGTTGATGTAGTTTCTCAATTAAGTAGAAAGTATATTGAAAATATTTATGAGGTAGTCAACAAATTAGATCAAAAGATTTTTAGTGAGGGCTCTCCCTTTATCTCAGCTTTGGACTCTTTCAAAAAATTTTTAAATGAAAATAAAAAATTATCAGTTTCCACTTCTT